ACAGGAAGTGGATACCCTTTAAAAGTCTACACTTCTTAGAACTACTCAGTCTTACAAGTTTTACTAGAACTTTCAGTCCTTACTGAGAGTCTTACCAGAAGTCTTAATGGAGGCTAAGTTCTAACCGTCCATTTGGTCCAGAATGCAGCAGCCCGATTTTTAACGAGTACAGGCAAAAGAGAGCACATTACACCAGTCTTGGCCTCATTGCACTGGCTACCGGTTCACTTCCGAATCCCGTTCAAAATACTCATGTATGTCTACAAATCACTGAACAGTGTCCCCCCCCTCCCCCCCATCTCTCTGATTTGCTACAACCGTATGTCCCACCACGCTCCCTGAGGTCAGCGGACCAGTTGCTCCTCACAGTTCCAGGAACTCGTCTTAAGCGCAGAGGTGACAGGGCCTTCTCTGTAGCAGGACCAAGACTCTGGAACGAGTTACCTCTGCTTGTCAGACAGGCCCCCTCCCTCTAGGTTTTCAAGTCCCGTTTAAAAACTCACTACTATTCAATAGCTTTCAACACAAGATGATCTGTTTTGAGATCCTGTATGCTCCACACTGGTTTGTCGTCATTATCTGCATCGTTTTTTTGTATATATTCTGATTTACCTCATTTTGTATTTTGCTTTGTGTGTTACCTGTTGTTTTGTCTGTACAGCACTTTGGTTGACCTTGTTGCTGTTTTAAGTGCTTTATAAATAAAGTGGTATGGTATGGTAACCGTCTTTACAATAATAGCTGATGGATGTTGGACCATGAGCCAAGGGTCCATCCATTTCAGTGGAGTCACATCACGCCTCGCTGTGATCTCACCCCGAGCATTTAAATGCTCTCAACTTCTAAGGAAGATTCCTTCTAAGGAAGCTTATTCCGTTGAACGGAGTACTGTCACTACTTCGGATGATTCCCAGCCACTCTGACCGGAGACGCTGGAAAGGTATCGTGAAATGGACCTCTGTACCGGAGCTGATTTATCTTCTGCAAAGGTAACGAGTCGTCACGCACTGAGTGTACCGAGGGCTGAGCTGGGGTCGGATGAAGGGTGCCATTCCTGGTCAACACATTTTCCTTCCTCCATCTAAATCCTCCTCTTTAAACTCCTAAATCTCCTTTTGTAAACCTCTTCGCCAGTAAATCAAGCTAAATGCCTTCAGAGATGAATTATTCTCCATCAGTAATCCTCTGTTGTCTTGTTATTTGAACTTGCTAAGTTTATTAATCAGAAACAGATCAGCCAATCAAGTGTACATGTTTGATGTTAAATTTTGATTCTGTTAAATAAATGACCACATTTATTCTGATGGGTCAAAGATAAATGACGTCTCATGTCACTAATTATACACTCCACTCTCAGGTTATCTTGGTCACATGGCAGAAATTTAACTCGAAAAAAAAAGAATCCGTTGTTAATTAAACAATTAATGTTCTTTGTGCTTGAACTAGCCTTAAGAATAATTAATTAATAGGATGTCCACAGCGAAAGCTGTCCCGACATACTACACTTTTGTGGGAAGAATCAGTTTTGTTGTGCGTTTCCTTGACTGATGAAGCCTTCCGGATCGAAGGCGAAACGTTTCAGCACAAAAAAAGAAATTGTCCAGATGACCTGACTGAAAAATGTTATATAAGAGCTAGGCCTTGTGTTAGGATGTCAAATAGTATCAATCTAATAAAGGCATACATCAAAGACACTATGGAGTCATGGTACTATTACATCACTGTCAGTCTCAAAATCTAGAAACTTGCTGAACAGTAAGTTCTTTCCCCTTTTTATACATCAGGTATAACATCTGACTTATGGTGATTTTTGTTTGTTTTGTTTTACTGTCACTAACAATCTGAACAAAAATGCCAACGTAACACTGAACAGGGCCAACCCATCTGAACATGTAACTTGAAAAAGTCCACCCATTTCTGTCCCATGACTGCCCAGCAGCTTGTGCAGCTCACTCGGTCTTCTGCTTTCAAATACAATGTGTAATTTCAATAATTCACACTGAAAGTTAGCAGTAGCCCACAGAAATGACTGCTTCTGCAAATTTCCAACATGTAATAAAATCAAAATACAACTATAATACTGAAAAATATTAATGTGAACCTAAATGTCATATTTACCCTCAAATTTTAGAGCAACTACAACTTCAGTATTTTTGAAATTACAAGTTGCAATGGAGCTCATTACAAATGTGATCGGCCATAGCTATTTTTGGTCAGCATTCAGCTCTGTTGTTTTGGTCTTTGATCTGCTTTTTTATGGACTTTTGTACACAGTCATCTTTATACGTTAGTTTTATTAGTACTTTATGTTTTGATAGCGACATGCAGCGTTGCCAAGTGTCTGAGTGACTGGATAGCACAGCTGAAACGTAGGTACATATGAACACTTGAGTTTGTTTAAGATAAGACAAGACAGAATTTTATTGATCCCACAGGAAATTGTTGAATAAATATAAGTAGGCAAGACCCTATCTACACCGTAAAAAGGTCGGAGGTCAAAATAACTGCCTGCAGGAGATTCCCAAAAGCTCAGTCCTGTGTTTTGGTCCCACCCACTCTACGTCAACATGGTGATTGGTTCATTTTCCTGTCAGTCATTAAACACGCTCATTCTGCAGAGAATTTGACTGAGCTCCTGACTCATGAGAGATCCTTCAAACATGTTTTTGCTTCGAGATGCAAATTTAAAAGAATCTGATTGGATTGCTGTGTTTTCATGAATTAAATGGTTTCTTGCTCAACTGCATAGTAGTTTAAAAAAATAAGAGAAATTTAGCAAAAATAAGAAAAACTAGGTTGAAAATTCATATTTTATATAAAATAAATATTGGATAAAAATGTAACTTTTTTTAATATGTGCCTTGTTCCTCGGCCTTTTCTGAAGGAAGCCCCGAGTCCCCACTGCAGTTTCATCGTCTTGATGCCCACTGTTCCCATAATGCTTTGTTTTCTTTGTTTTGCTGAACTGTTTCAACAAACATTTTGTTGCTTCTGGTTCTTTATTTGACACAGTTACTAACAAAAAATCAGCCACTTCACTTAATAACCAAACTTCTACAAATCAAATCCCTCCTACAAGTCAATCCTCAGTTAATCACACCTTCTCTTTTTCTCCATTCTCAGTCAGTGAGGTCAATTAACTGTTAAAAGATCTTGATCCTAAAAAATCTGCAGGTCCAGATGAACTTCCACCTTATTTCTTAAGGCTGGCTGCTCATATCATCACAGTCCCTGTGACCCACATCTTCAATCTCTCCATAAGACAAAACTCCATCCCAGACACTTGGAAAACAGCCTTTGTTCATCCTTTGCTGAAGGGAGGTGACCCCACCTCACTGATCAACTATCGACCAATCTCTAAACTCTGCATTTTAGCCAAGGTTCTAGAAAAATTGATAAACTCTCAAATCAAAAATTACCTGGACTCATTTAACATCTTACCTCCACATCAATCTGGTTTCAGGAAACAACACAGCACAACCACTGCTTCACTGAAGGTTCTTAATGACGTTGTTGAAGCACTGGATGCTAAAGATTATTGTGCTGCACTTTTCTTAGACCTGTCTAAAGCTTTTGACACTGTGGATCAGAACATCTTGTGTCATAAACTCTCAGAAATTGGTTTCTCAGATCACACCATTGGTTGGTTCTCTAACTATCTTTCAGACCGTAGGCAATGTGTTCAACATAATGGTACTTCCTCCAGTTATTTAACATTCAACAATGGTGTACCACAAGGCTCAGTCTTAGGACCCACCCTCTTTACAATCTACATACATAATGTAGGCAAAAACATCCCTAATGCATCCATACATTTCTATGCTGACGACACAGTTGTTTATTGTCGAGCTAAAACAGTTGCTAAGGCTTTCCAGCTTTTGAAATCTGCATTTAACTACATCCAGACTGATTTGTTCCACCTCAAACTTGTCCTAAATGCCGAAAAAACCAAAGGGATGCTTTTTTCAAATAGGAAGTTGGTCCCAGCAGTTCTTCCACCGATTTTATCCTCAAATGGTGTCCCCATTGAGTTTGTTGATTCCTATAAATATTTGGGTATCTTGGTCGACTCACATCTTTCTTTTAAGCTCCATGTGGAAAACTTGGTAAAGAAACTGAAAGTTAAACTGGGTTTCTTTTTCAGAAACAAATCCTGTCTAACCCTGAATGCTAGAAAACGCCTTGTATCTGTGACTTTCCTTCCCTCAACTGATTATGGTGATATTATTTACATGAACGCTCCTACAAGAACCCTGCATATGTTGGATGCTGTCTATCATGGTGCACAAAGATTCATAACTGGCTGTGATTATCGTACCCACCACTGCACACTGTATTCACTGGTTAACTGGTCATCATTAACTTCACGCAGACTCTCTCACTGGTATATTTTCATCTTTAAATCACTTCTTGGTCTGTTGCCTTCATACATCTCCACCTACATGTCTCTGCGTGAGTGCAGCTACGGAGTGCGCTCTCAGGACATTATTACCTGCAGTGTTCCCTCAATGAGGACTGAACTAGGCAAAAGGGCCTTCTCCTATTCCGCTCCTGTTTCCTGGAATATCTTACAAAAAGATTTGAAGCTCTCGACCTTGACCTCTCTAAGTGTCTTTAAGAATCTGTTGGACACCTGGCAGGGTCCAATGCTGACATGTTCCTGTTGTTAGTTTTCTACATTTGTCTTGGAATCTAGCTGTTTTTTGTTTTGTTACCTTTTTCCTTTTAGCCATCCTGTTAAAAAAAAAAAAAAAAAAAAAAACAAACTGTAGTATGCTTTTTTATAACTGTTTATTGTTGTTGCTGTTGTCCATTGTTGTCATCTTTCTTTGTTGAAATCAGGTCTCTCTTGTAAATGAGTCCTCGAGGCTCAATGGGATTTACCTGTATAAATAAAGGTTGATTGATTTTGGATTTGTGCATGCTACTGGACCTAAATAATTTGTTTGGGAGGTTGGATTTTGTTGTCTTTCTCTGAAGACTATTCTTTCTTTTTCTAGATCCCCCGGAACAATCGACTGATGTACATCCACAGCTACCAGAGTGTGGTGTGGAACACCATGGTCAGCCGCAGGATCGAAGCGTTCGGCCTAAAGGCTGTGGAGGGAGATCTGGTTCTCAGAGGAAGTAATTTACCTTTTTTTCCAGCTGTAAACAGCAACTGCCTAACTCTCTTACTCTCTAAAACATGGAAGTTTGCAAAGGGTAACTAAACAAGCTATAAAACTTTTTTCTGTCTTTAAAGCACCTGGTAAGCGTACTTCAGCTGAAAACATGCAAAAGGTGCTTCAATCGGTACCATAGACACAGAAAATGGCTGCAGGGCACTGACTTTACAAGCAGGGAAAGAGAGTATGGCATAATTATTTTTTTTTCCTTCCCAGGAGCAGCAACACCTCAAACTGGTGTTGAGTTTTTATTTATAGAACACTTAAAACAGCGACAAGGCCAACCAAAGTGCCATACAGACGGAAAAACAGACAACACACAAAGCAAAAACCAAATGAAGTAAATCAGAATATAGACATAAAAGCATCCTGATGCATGCTCAATAATCCAGGTAGAAAAATCTAAAAAAGTTAAATCTGGTCCTCTGGACATTCAAAAAACAAAACAAACCAAAACAAAAAAAAAAATTTAAAATGTAGAAACGTTTCGTCTTTCATCCGAAAGACTTCCTCAGTCTGAGGTGCTGTATTCAGCTCAGTCTCTTAAATAGTACCATGTCAAAGTGGATCAACCGATTTTGCTGCTGACAACCAAAACAAGCTGCGCACATGATCAAGAAGGATCATCAGCCTAACAATGGATCATTAGCACACTGATGGCTGTTTACTATTCACAGGGGGCTGAGTGATACTAGCAATGACAGCATTGTAAGAGGGGGACAGTTGAACCCGGAGGCCTCCACCCCTGTTTAATGATGGACGATTTCTTTTCACAAAGATGGCCTCCTTTACTCCTCTCTCAAACCATCGTTCCTCTCTATCCAGGATGTGAACATCTTCATCCCTGAAAGAGTGATTGCTGGCCTGGAGATGAATGTAGACCGCAGAGTCCTGGCCTGATGTTGTTGCTCTTCTGTGCTGGGCCATCCTTTTGGCCAGTGGCTGTTTAGTTTCCCCGATGTAAGACTGATCACAGCCCTCCTGACACTGAACAGCATACACAATATTACTCTGTTTGTGCTGGGGGACTAGATCTTTGGGATGAACCAGTCTTTGCTGTAATGTATTTTGCAGTTTAAAAGCCACTGGGACGTTGTGTTTAGAAAATAAACGTCTCAGTTTCTCTGATACTCCCTCAACATACGAAATGACCACTGGTCTGGGTTCCTCCTTTTCACCTGTTGGCTGACTGGAGTCCTGTTTGGGTTTCTTCTCTGCTTTCAGGAAGGCCCAGTTAGGATATCCACATTGCTCTAGAGCCTGTCTTGTGTGGGATTTCTCCTTCTGCCTGGCTCCTGAGCTAGTGGGGACACTGTCTGCTCTGTGATACAGAGTCCTGATGACTCCTAACTGGTGAGTGCGTCCCTCTCCTCTCTACTGATGTTGGAAGGTGGTGGTTTGGCATTGCTGAGGCAGGCTGAAACTTTGATTCTGAGCTGTTCTGCTTCAGCCTCCTGATTGCTAGTATCACTCAGCCCTCTGGCCAGGATTGCCTGAAACTAGTTAAAGAGTTTGAGAAAACAGTAAGGAAGAGGGCAGACTACAGGAACCATTTGCGATTCAACCTCAGATGTTGACAAAGTGGCATCATTCCCAAGAGCCTGGAACTAAAATCTTCGGTCAGCGGGCACCGGGCAAGCAAGATCCTTCAGAAGTTACAGACCCAGCTGCTGAATGAACGGGTGAGACAGACCAATTTTACTTTTGAGGCCTTGAAGGCCAAAGAAGAGCACATTAAACAGAAACTAACTATGTGTCTAGATCAGACCACACTTCAGCAAGTGTTGGACTGTACAGATCAGGCACGCTTAGCACAGCATGTCAAGTTCAAGACTCTACAACAAAATAAGTTTAACTTACTAATAACTCATCAACACCATCACTATTCCAATAACAACACATTCAGTGTAGGACAACAGTAGTCAATTACATGTCAGGGAGACAGAAAAGTGGGTGAAGAATTTATCTGATAGACAGCTCACCCAGCCAGAGACAGAGATTCTTGCCAGGGGACTAAACTTTGCGGTTGCACCAAGTAGAATACCTCTGGTGGAGATGATCACAGCTACTGAGTCAGCCATCCGCAACAACAAAATTAAAGAGGCTAAAGCAGAACAGCTCAGAATCAAAGTTTCAGCCTGCCTCAGCAATGCCAAACCACCACCTTCCAACATCAGTAGAGAGGAGAGGGATGCACTCATCACTCTTAACAAGGACAAAAACATCATCATTCTCCCAGCAGACAAAGGAAGGTGCACAGTGATTTTGAACCAGAAAGACTATCATGAGAAAGTTATGACACTCCTTAGTGACTTAAACACTTATGAACCTCTGAAAAGAGATCCAGGAAGTGGTTACAAGAAGAAATTGATAGATTGCCTGAAAATTTTGGAGCAGGACAAGGCTATTGACCGTTTTCTGTACCACAGACTGTACCCAGGGGAGGTCACACCTAGTCTGTATGGTTTACCTAAAATCCACAAACAAGGTGTACCTTTAAGACCGATCGTTAGCATGATTAACTCTGTCACTTACAATGTTTCCAAATATCTGGCGTCTGTACTCATCCCTTTAGTTGGCAGCTCAGAACACCACATACAGAACACCATGGACTTTGTGGATAAGGTGAGGGATGTCATCATGGAGACTGATGAAACAATGGTCTCTTTTGAAGTCACATCACTCTTTACGTGCATTCCTGTTGATGATACAGTATAGGTGGTCAGTTTAAGATTAAAATCAGACACCACTCTGAGCAGCAGGACCACGCTTTCCACAGAACAACTGTGTCAACTCTTGAAACTGTGCCTGCAGTCAATCTACTTCACATATGGGGAGCAATATTATAGGCAGAAACATGGGTGTGCTATGGGGTCTCCAGTTTCTCCTATTGTTGCCAACCTGTACACGGAGGAGGTAGAAAAGAGAGCTTTGACGTCCTTTTCAGGGACACCACCAAGTCATTGGTTCAGGTATGTTGACGACACCTGAGTTAAAATTAAATCTCAGGAAGTCCAACATTTTACTGACCACATCAACTCTGGATAAATACATCAAGTTCACACGAAAAGATGTAAAAAATGGCAAGTTGGCTTTCTTGGACTGTGAGGTCTCAGTCTCTGATAGAGGACATTTGCAAACTGAGGTGTACCGCAAACCCACCCACACAGACCAGTATTTGCAGTTTGACTCCCATCACCCTTTGGAGCACAAGTTGGGAGTTATCAGGACTCTGTATCACAGAGCAGACAGTGTCCCCACTAGCTCTGGAGCCAGGCAGAAGGAGAAATCCCACACAAGACAGGCTCTAGAGCAATGTGGATATCATAACTGGGCCTTCCTGAAAGCAGAGAAGAAACCCAAACTGGACTCCAGTCAGCCAACAGGTGAAAAGGAGGAACCCAGACCCAGACCAGTGGTCATTCCATATGTTGAGGGAGTATCAGAGAAACTGAGATGTTTATTTTCTAAACATAACGTCCCAGTGGCTTTTAAACCCCAAAATACATTACGGCAAAGACTGGTTCATCCCCAAGATCCAGTCCCCCGGCTCAAACAGAGTAATGCTGTGTATGCTGTTCAGTGTCAGGAGGGCTGTGATCAGTCTTACATTGGGGAAACAAAACAGCCACTGGCCAAAAGGGTGGCCCAGCACAGAAGATCAACATCATCAGGCCAGGACTCAGCGGTCTACACTCTTCTCCAGGCCAGCGGTCACTCTTTCAAGGATGAAGATGTGCACATCCTGGATAGAGAGGAACGATGGTTTGAGAGAGGAGTAAAGGAGGCCATCTTTGTGAAAAGAAACCGTCCATCATTAAACAGGGGTGGAGGCCTACGTGTTCAACTGTCCCCCTCTTACAATGCTGTGATTGCTAGTATCACTCAGCCCTCTGTGAATAGTAAACAGCCATCAGTGTGCTAATTATCCATTGTTAGCCTGATGGTCCTTCTTGAGCATGTGATCAGCTGGTTTTGGTTGTCAGCAGCAAAACTGGTTGATCCACTCTGAGAAGGTGCTATTTAAGAGACTGAGCTGAATACAGCACCTCAGACTGAGGAAGTCTCTCGGATGAGAGACGAAACGTTTCTACATTTTTTTGTTGATTTGCTTTGTTTTGTTTTGTTGAATGTCCAGAGGACCAGATTTAACTTTTTTAGATTTTTCTACCTGGATTATTGAGCATGCATCAGGATACTTTAATTCCTGTTTAAATGCAATTCATCCTGCCATACCTGCAGTGTCTTCAGACTTTGCCAGCAAATTAAAAGTCTAAGCTTAATCGTTAAATTATTATCTTTGTGTTAGATTTATTTATAAATCACATTTAAACACTGCTTGTACCAATTAAATTAAATAAATAGTAACACATGTTCTCTATCACCGTCATTAATCAGATAACAAACAAACAAGCAGCAGCTTCATCTACCAGACAGACTGACGTTACGTTTTCTCTTTTGGAAACAGAACAATGTGTTAAATTATAGAGACTCACCTGCAACACATGAGTTGGGAGTGAGACATCTGCTGCAGCTCGTGACTCCGACATGTTTACGTTTATCTCCGTGGTTCTCCCGTGTCGTGTCGGCGATTTTCAAAGCGTCATGCTTCTCATTTTTTATCTTTGTGAAGTTCTCCCACACTTTGGAGGACTTGGGTCGAACAGTTTTCGCTGCGTCTGTCATTTGTAAAATTGACTTTTTTTCCTTTGAAAACACGCCTCTGCTCTGCCTCGCCTCGCCCCTTGCTCTGTTCAACTCGCGCTGCAGGTTTTTTTTCTTTTTTTTTTCCCAAACTTTATTCAGTCAGTCAGCATTGACAATGAACTGCCCGTGAACAAAACGAAACGACTCCGCAGCGCCGTGAAAGACACATTATCGCGCGACACAACGAATCGATAATGAAATTCGTTGCCAACGCTTTTAATCGATTTTTATTGATTTTATTGATTCGTTGTT